CAGCTCTGTGATTGTATAGAAAACCAACGTTACAAAGTGCTAAAGAGCATGCTGCATTTTCTTTACTTTCCCATTCCTGTCCCATGGTGGTGTGTCTATGGTTGAATTTTTGCATGAACTCTTGCTGTAGCATTCATTCTAACGGTAATCTCCTTTCTTCTGTAGGAGCTACAATGATAGCTGTTTCCTGGATTCTCCCCTCTATCCAGAACTAGCAGATGTCCAGTGGTATGGACAGGAAAAAGCCAAGCCTGGGACTCTAGTGTGAACCCCTGACCTCAATCTGATCACATCAATGCCATTCTGAGATCACCTCACTGCCTCTCATTTGCCTTACCCAGATGCACTGTCGCCCGGCACCAGCTTCAACTCTAAGCACTTTTCTCTAAATGTGATTACAGACGCCACTACAGATACTGGCCCCAGGATGCAGCTGCAACCACCAATGGATAGCAGTGTTTCAAACTAGATTGCCACGGACTGACATACAACTCCCATAGCCCAAACCAGCCATGGGGTGGGCACAACATAGATGACTATGTTAACAGCCAGATGGCAGGGGCTTATTCCTTTTAAATACTGAAAGCCTTTCGAGGTATAAATACAATCGTATTGGTCTGTGGCCTGGGAAAATAGTAACAGTTCTACAACTTGAAATCTGAAGCCACCAGAACATTAGTTAAGTGGCTAAGAGCGCGGTTGTGAACAACATCCTTGACTCCTGGAGTATTTATTTGGAGTAATGAAAAGCTCCTCTTGCTTCAGAGATGTCAGAATATTACAATCAGTTCAGTGCTGCCAAGATCGCAGAATTACCAGGAAAGCATGGGCAGCATCAGTTTAAATTAGCCCGTTTCCTACAATTTGGAAACTTTTTTTAATTCCTTCCTCACGTTAAGCCCTTCCAAAAATTAAACCAGTAACACTAACAACCCACTGGGATGAAGAAACACCAGAGCTCTGGGCTGGTATTGTAAAATCACTCTTGAAAAGCTGCTGTTAAACTGGACAGACACAAAGGTTGACAAGGGGGGTATTAGCGAAAGCAGAGGCAAGTACTGCTATTCTTAGCATCCGTGGCTGGCACAGGCTAACGACCAATACAGCCAGGTTTTGTTTAGTTTTTTTTTTTTTTAAACATAAGGTGAAAAATCGCCAAACGCCGTTCTATGAATAGAAATAACCATTACATGATATCCTAATTATGCACAAAGTATTTAACGTGAAATCAAAGGAAAGCACATTAATCAACATGGGAAAGCCACATTAGCATAACGGTTCAGACTATTACGCTTCTGGTAGTGCCAATGTAGCAAAGGGCTCATCACCAAAGTATTGCTATATACGGGACCCCACTAGGTTGTAAATCAGAAGCGGGGGTTCAGTAGTGTTGTCTACTAACCAGCTGTCAGTAAATTTTTCAGATTGCAAGAAGGGACCATAATAAATAAAAGCTAATGAATGAGTAACCTTGATGCATTCGACACAGACTCTAGTTTTTCTACTGATACCAAAAGGAAACACACAAGAGAGCCGTGACAGGAGCTGCAAGTTTACATGTACCTTGGAGCAATGCTATAAATGTCAAGCCATCAAACTTCAAAAGGCCTCAAAGACACTTTTGTACTGAACTCGTGCACAAGCTAGGTGGGTGTTGAAGCTGGCACGTCTAGTCTTCACTACGGTGCTATGCTGTTTTTTATTGCCACTAGGTGGGGTGGGGTTCTGTCCCCATTTGTGCATGCAGATGATGATTTCCTATGGGAAAGGCAATTAAAGACATGGCTGTAGGGGGTTACTTTGTGAAAAGCAGAAACTGACATTAGCTTTAGGTTAAAGAAATAAAGTGCGTGTGCGTGTGCGTGTGTGTGTGTTCTAAGAATAACGCTAGTCTACCAGACCAGAAGGGCAGGAAATTTAAAACTAAACTTAGGGGCTGCCACAGCTTTTTTTGTGTAATTAATAGCATCACTGGAATACTGTTTTGCTGGAAGCTTTTAAGAGCACAGATTTCCTATATCTAGGCTTGGAAAGATTAGGGGTATGGGGTTTTTCCTGTGTTTTCCTACATTGCTTATGTGTATTGACTTATTTAATATGCTGCCCTTACCTGCTACCTTGCAGTCTCCCAATACACCTGTGAGCTATTTATTGTAGGAACTGTGGCTAGGAAGAAGTGAGGCACGGGAAGGTTATCTGACTTGCTCAAGACATGGACTGCAGATCTAACTTTAGGTGTTAACTATAAAAATTACCTCTCCATAGCGCTGACAAATTTTTGCCCTGCAGGAAATTTAAAAAGCTTCAATCTTGGTGTCCTTAGCCTCTGTTCGCCAGAAGCTGGCAATAGGATGGATCCACTTGATGAATACCTAGTCTATTCAGTCCATCTGAAGCACCTGCCATTGAACACTTTTAGAAGACAGGATACTGAGCTAGATGGACCTTTGGTCAGACTCAGTATGGACCAACATTACTAATCATTCCAAACCTAATGTCTGTGGAAGTCAAGAATCATTAGAAATCATAGTTGACAATAATCATCTCTCTCGCTAGCCAAGCACCCCACAGATCTGACAGCCAGGAGATTGCAATGAGCAATGTGTGTTTATTTTTGCCTTTCTCGAGATATGACTAATGAGGGGATTGTTCTTACTGCCCCCACTTCTGTTTTTGGATGGAGAGGCGACATCATTGATTAATACCTTTTGATGATTAAACTCTAATCCTTCCAAGTCTAACTATAAACAGTGGTCCCATGTTAATCACCAGGCAGGAATTAGCCCAAGAAGGTCAGGGGCTTTGTGCAACTGTCTATATTTTCATTTTCCCTGGTGAATCATTTTTCTATATAGCCCTTTTTATTTACAGGTTTCAAGCCCTGCAGCACAACAGGGCTCTGGATGCTACATAATACAAATAACTAATCAAAATTAATTGCTCCCGAATCAGGACAGGCCTGCAGTTTTGCAGAGGGGCTAAAGGGTGGCAGCCCTGAAGTTCATTGTGTTTGAAGTCACATTGGAAACAGTTTGGCAAGCCTGCATTGCAACGAGGCTGGAGGAGAGAAAAAAATCTTTTGAGAAAAGGATTGGGTTTTGCTTTGTGGTCTGCTTTTCTGTTTTGCAATCAAGGCACATGTGAGCCAGTCTGGTAGTAAAGACATTAAGTAAAACAGGTTTTACTGTTTAGTTCAATTCAATTATACACAAATGTACATACAATGTTAATCATATTAGATTAACATGGTTAAGTATAACATGGAGAGGTAAAACAGAACTGTTCTATACAAGCACTTGACTACCAACTTCCTAGCCCCTCTCTCTCTCTTTTTTTTTTTTTTTTTTTTTTTTAAAGGCCCTTCTCTGATAGAAAGCCACTGTTGCATTCTTAGTGTCTCTGTATGAAATTCCCTTGGTTTAGCCAGAAACATGGCATATGCATACACCATGCCATATTGTGAGGCAGGGTTTATTTTTAAATGATACTATATGCAGTCGAGTGTTGAAAATGTCAAATTTGTTTTCATTCTGTATTAGTTTTAGTTTTGGACATAGCAAACCCCATTCAGGTGCTATCAGATGACCAGTTACTGCTTAGTTAACTAGATGTAAAGTTTTACATATATATTAATGTCAATAGTTTTATTACAAGTTGTGTAAAATGGACTCTAGTTTAAAAAAGAAAAAATAGGTCTCTCAAACTGTCTTTAGAGCATGTAAAATGATTTTACTGGATTCTGTTCAATGGTAATCAAGGGGGAAAGATGTAGAAAAAGTTGCAGAATTTCAAAAAAAAATCTGCTTTTAATTTATTCTTTTTGTATTAAGAATTTGTATAGTTACCTTTACATTTTGCAAAACAGTGTTGTCAACACTTCCTTATTAAAGCATTTTCAAAATGAAATGTTGCAGCAGCTTTTTGAGATATTAAACAAGATTGAACAACACTCCTTTCTGGGTATGTTCACCAATAGCAGAAGCCAGTAGACACTATGACTAATCTGTGATTTATGTATCTCAAAATCACTTGTCACTTTTGGAAAACTCAACTTGTAGTTTTGCCCTTTATCTTCAACCTCTTGTCACAAAAGGAAGATTAACGTGTCACTAAAGGGCTAGCTTGGGTGGTAGAACATTAGATTACATGTGTTAATGAAATCAGCCAGGACATGGTAGCAACAATATTCTACAGGTGGTCCCCGAGTTATGAACGCATTGACTTACGACCGTTCGTATTTACGACCAACCTCCCATTAAGCGCTTTACAGCCGGTCCCTAAGTTACGAACACGTGATCCGCACTTACAAATAGCGCGGTCACATTTAAATGAATGGAGTCCGACTTACAAACTGATCGAGTTACAACCAAGTGTTTGGTTCATAAGTCGGAGACTATCTGTATTTTTAATACAGAAAAATCATCCAACCAATGGATCCTCTTCTCTTTTGGTTCTCTTTGCCTCTTTGACCCACTCTAAGCATTTCCTGGGCTTGTACACCACAGGATGCGAGGCCCAAGTGAGACTGTCTGGTAGCCACTCTGACTACAGGGTGCAAACAGCTTGGGACCAGTTTCTTCTTTGGCACAGCTCAGCCATTCACCAGCAGAAACTAGACAGTGCCTCCTACATCTAGCAGCATTACGCTGGCCCTGCTGACTAGTGAGAGGTAAGACTTCGCGCTTCATCCAGGGAGCTGGTGCAGAAAGAAAGGAAGGAGGCGTAACTCCCAAAAAATGAGTAACGCTAGTTCAAACCAAGGGGTTTGGTTTGAACTAACGCGTCCTGGCGCGCACTTTCACTTTCAAAACATCTGGCATTCGGCGTAATGCCCCGGCGAGATCATGCTAATGAAGCGCGGGATATTTAAATCCCCGCTTCATTGACTATTTCGAATGCCTGCATTTGCATCCCTAGTTCGAACTAGGGTGCAAGTGTAGACATACCCTAAGAGGGCAACCAGCTTTCCTTTGTGTTTGGACACCGGTGAGCTTTTGGTGTGGCACAAAAACACCAACATGAATCTGTGGTGTAGCAACATCAAGAGGGACTAGATTACAGCACTAGCTGAGATGCTGGGACACCTGGGTTCAAACCCCTGCTGCATGACAGACAGCCTGTGTGACCTTGGGCGAGTCCCTTTGTCTTACCATGCCTTGGCTCCCCATCTGTACACTTCCCTGCCCCACAGGGTGAAGGGGATCCTGGTATGAGGCTAAATGCACTGAACACAGTCACTCAGAGAATACCTACACTGTATTTAAAAAACCACCCAGCAGCTCGGCGCT